ATGTGAAGAAATATGCATTCTATTTTCCTTTTGACATGATAGCATAGTATGTGCAACTTGAATGTATCATCAGGACTTGGCTGTGCACCGGATTCAATCTTATGTGAACAATTGAAAACAGCTTGTTCGGCCATTATCGACTGGTTTCTAGTGTAATTTTAACGTTCGTCGACAAAAAACGTTTTGAATATTTATCTTGGAGACTCTAATGCTGCACTTCGTTATCATAGATAAACTAGAACCTTGCGTTAATTATATATTTTAAGTCTCGTGTTTTGATTGACATAGAAAACCTAATTTAGTGCAGTTAGCGTTCCTCATGAATGAGTGTATTCTGAGCTTAATTTGGATTTGAGAAGAAATTGTTATCAGAATGCAGAAAAATTGCCACAAATTCTATCTTTAGTCAGGCGAAAACCTTCTTTTACATTGGTATTGTTAAGATTTGGGGTTCTATCTTAAAAAGTCAACCTTATTAAGATGAGTAGTCAAATTCTTTATAAGTTGGTCTATATTTACAATTTTATTCGATGTGGGATTCTATTCTTTAACATGCCTCCACAAGATGGTAGCTCGTTTGAGCAGACCAATTTTGAAATTCGTATGCTCACTTTTGGAGTCTTAATCGGATCGAATTGCTCATTTCAGTTTAATGGGCTCTGTACTATATTAAGATTTGGGGTTTTATCTTAAAATGTCAACCTTATTAATAGGAGTAATCAAAAATTTTATAAGTTGATCTATATTTACATATTTATTCGATGTGAAATTCTATCCCTGTTATCTTCCCCATATTTTGTTCAAGTCCACTGTCCACATTGACACCTTTTCAGGTATTATAGATACATATGGAGGATTGTCAGATGAACAATCCTGTTGCACAGTTAAACTACAAGTGTAAAATGGGTTGAGTCACCTTGTGACCCGATGTGGATGTGAAAATGAGCTGACGATATGCTTATCACGGTGCAAACTAAAAATTAGAAGAATAATTATTATTTGTATATAATGGTTTACATATAGATGTGATGTCAAATAGAGAGTGGGGAATTTTTTTATTTTTTTTTTGGAAGAAATTTTGATTCAATCGTATCTCGTGTATATAAATCATTATATACATGTAGCACAATCAAAATTAATGGTGGGACTTGAGGTGGATCAGTCAGTTGAATTGATTTGCCATACTTCGAACAAATGGTGCAACGGTGACCGTGTAAAGTGGACAAAAAATGAGGTCACAGTGAAGTGCATGGACAAAAAAATGAGGTCACAATGAACCGTGCCAATATTAAGAAAAAAACCATCACGCAACTCGGACAAGTTATAATTGGACAACGAAGGTAAGACATCATGTAATTATCTCAAAGAGTCATCTCGTAAAAAAAATGATAATGATTCTAAAATCATAGTAAAGCTTGGGAGCCATTCTTTCTCCAAATAATACATTTTTTCTTTCACATCAAGTGAGGTCCATGGTTGGATAGAGACACAAAAAATGTGTGATTTG